TTTTTTTTATAGCACCATAAATCGTCAGTCGAGGAAAATCCTTTGGCAAAGATTTTGACAGCCGGTGAGAGAGTGTAATCGCATATTTTACGATCTTTGTTAATTCGATTTCGATAAAGACCGATAGGGCCCTTTTCTGGAGCAAGCAAATACCTTTTGTCTTTACGGGTAATCTGATGGGTATCGATAATCATGATATCCGTGTACACATGAATTATTCGTCATCTCCGGATGACGTAGTCCACCAGGGAAACCCAAAATGGATTTGATCAATCAATCAAATGTTGATTGCTCCGAAAATGAAGCACTTCGTGATTCATTTCACTTCGTCTGTGCACTCGGTGCCATTTACAATAAATATTGTAAAAATAATATTCAATTAATCAATTAAATTTTCAATTCAATACCGATCATCGAGTGGAATACCAAATTTGACGATAAAAACCGCGAAAAAATCAGCGATATTGGAGTCTTTTTAAACTGGAATCAATAATAATAATTAATTATTTATTATTATTTGGAAAAAATGGGTGTAGAATGCCCGGGGGTTTGTTTAGCCCTAAAAGTGCTGAGGCAGACAATTTTGTGCGGTTTCTCCTGCTTCTCGGATGACTCACTCTCCCCAACCCCCAAAAAAAAAATAAAAACCCCTGAATAATGCACTCAATTGAAACTTTATTCCAGTCGTGGAGTTCATATCGGGCAGGAGGGTAAAAAATCCGGGGAATAAGACGGTGAAAGCCTTCAAGTTTCTCAAAACGCAAACCTCCGGTTAGGGAATCGGCGAAAAATTTCTCTCTCTCGGAGAATCTTATTTCCCATCGACGATAAATTTGGCGTCAACTAGCTCCCGGTTGAGAGTTCACTGTTCCAATTTCACGGGTTTATTTTTTATACATTCGGTAGTAAAGAAATTCTTACCGAAATAAAACCATGAGGCATTTAAATAAATCGCCACATTTTTCCCCACTGCAAAATTTTTTCGAAAAATATTTGTATATCTTCACTGTCTCCTTATCCCTGAATTTATTTCATTCCATATTTTGTTAATTAATTATGCTAGTAACAAATTGATTTACACAAGTGATGAAGAACTTCTGGATTTTTGGTGGAAATAAAATGGAAGAACTTCCGTATTTTTGTTTTTCTTCTTTCGTCAGAGTCGGAGTAAATATTCAAGTCGAAAACATTTAGTGGTTTTAGATGGGCAATGGGTGGGATAAAAAATTTGGGAGTGAAATAAATCAGCCTCTTGCAACATGACATTCTCGAGACCCATCGAGATCGGCGAGACACGGTGATGGCGCCTCAGAATCGCCTTCGACGATATTATATCGAAACTCCGTCATCGGCACCACTGAGAAGACACGTTTGTTATTTTTTTCTTCAACGTGACATCGAGTACATGAATTCTCCCGACACTTGAAATAAAGAGCGAGTAAAATATGTAACCGGTGACGTCAGGCGCTCGATCGACGTGAAATACCCAGTGGAATCATCATTGCGCCGAATTGAAATTTTATTCGACGAACAACCGCTCAATTTCACTGGAGATTATTCACGAATTAGTCAACGAGTTGTCGAGGCATTTTTTTATTTCCACTTGGAGTCACCCACAGATTAATAACTCCAGAGGTAATTATCAGCGTGATGACGCGGCGGGAACTGACGAATCGCTAATTAACGCGTTATTTCTAGTTTCGGGAATTGAGAGATTAGGATTTCCAGGAATATATCGTTAAATTTATTCTCGCTCTTGAATGCAATTGCACGGAGACTGGAAATTTGAGAAAATTCATTTTAGCAGCGATTTGTTGATTGAGTGTCCGGTGATAAAAGCGATCGGTTCAATTGCCATCAATCCCTCAACGTCACGGATTTCGGAGGATATCCTGACATCCTACACCGTGATATCTAGTATTAGAAGATGGAGTGACCCTGGGAGGAGGAATTAATCACTCGAGTGTCTTCAGGGTACGAGTAATTGAAAGGGTTGGACTGAAAAAATTCTCCAGCCGGACAGCACTTGGCGCTCGACGCGAACAATCTAAATTCACTTATTAAATTGAATAAATAGAAAGTGGGAAAATGGAGTGGTGGATTCAACTAGCTGTCGGATAAATATATAAAAAGTGTCGGAATGAAATGATGAGCCGTCGGAACGTCGCCAAGTGCTAGTAGAAAAACGGTGTCGCGTGGCTCCACTTCTCACTCATATATACTAGTATGTACACTTGAATGTTCGTCATCTTTTCTGGGGAAGTTGTTTATATACATGGTATATACCCACTTGATGTCAATACGACTTCGGTACAACAGCCTCTGTATTTCGATAATTCCAATTTATTCCGTTCTAAACAATTTATCCATTAGAAAAAAATATTTAACCGTATTAGTCTCTATTATCCGCTCAATATTTCAACTTCGTTGGATAATTCCATTCAGCAGATGCAGTTGAATTTTTTTTTCAGGAATTTGATTCACCCGAGAGAAATTCTCACTCCTACATTTTCCGGTAGTTTTCTTTTTTTCTCCAGAAAATGCCCCATAAACCTATCTAGTATTTGTCCACTGGTGATTTGTAGGCGATTCGTTTCGCTTGTTTGAGAAACATTCGGTCGGTGGTCATTGTCCATTGGTCCAGGTGACTTTTCTCATTTGTGGAACCGACGCACCGGGAGACTTTCTTCTGAATAAAGCACGCGCCTCCCCAATTTTCACATTCTCTTCCGGATTTTTTTTTCCAATTCCTCTGTGAACCCGTTGGAGACATTTCTCCGTGGTTAATCTCGTTTACATATTGCATTATGCATCCAGATTTAATTCAATTTGATGCACTCTTTTTTAAATGCTCGCTGAGTGAAGCACTTGCTCGTCCTTATTTCCATAATTAGGGCACTACTAAATAAATAATTACATGAAAATTTTTCAGAAAGGGTAATTGCGTTTTAATTCCATTTTAATTAGATTGGAGTGAAGTATGTGGAGTCTTCAGGCTTGGGGTTAATCAATTTTCAATCGTCTCTTTTGACAAAAAATTTCTCGGTCAGGACCTTCCACGGAATAGACCAATGGACACCATCAGAATCACATGAGTTTTTCATTCGTCCGGGGGTTTCAAGTGCTGAGAGTTTTTCATTCGGCAATCCCCACTAAATCCCCCTTGAATAAGTCCCCCACGTGCCACACAAGGGTGACACGTCGGTCTCATCCTCTTCGCTCACTTCGCATTCATCCGTGAGCGCTTCGAATTCACGGAGTGATTTTTTCGCGACACATTCAACTAGTCCTATCCACTCTAGTCCTCGAATAAATCCCCATATTTTAGCAGGAAGTCGGGAGAAAAAAAAATTGAAAATTTATCCGGGGTTGAAGCACCCGTTCGATCGATCCGACGCGAGTGCCAGAGGTTTAATCAACTTTTTACTCAATTAACTTTTTTTTCGAGTGATGGTGTCCTCTACCTGTTGGTGACTGACACTTTTTTTTTTTTAATTGAATTATTTCTGGGAGTGCGTGACTCTGTGGATGACGTATCCCGGGGAATTCCGGGGGGTGCCGAGTATTTTGGCAATTGGTATTAGCGAGTAATGGACATGACGTGCTACATTATCTCGCGATGAGAGCGGTTAATGGGTGAGTAATTTCACTGATGACAGCTTGACCTGTCACTTTGACAATTCCCGCGGCCATGTGGAGTCCCTGTTGCGCCCACCACGTGCTCTCGACGCCAATTTTCCCGGTGAATCGCGCACTCAAAAAAATGATCAACATATTAATTAAACAAATAATTTACAACAATCAACTATCGCCGAGAGAACTTTATTTCATTAAATCATGCGTGACAAAAATTCACGGTTGATTAAATCCTGTATGAACTATCAGATTGGCGTATTGTTGTTGAAAAAATGAAAAATAATTGATTTGTTTTGATTTAAACATGAGAAATAATTGGTTAAAAAAATGAGAGACTCGGGAACGTTGGCTCACGTATAGTTGGACTTCTGTTCTGTAACGGAGAATCGCGGTGCAATTAAAGTACGAAACCCGAGTACTGGCGGTGCTCGTTGCACCCAGCGTACATACATACACGATAGAGTACGGGTATTACGACTTGATGCGTGTCGGGGGCTGGTGTGTACGCGTGATGAATGTGCGGTAGAAAATTCAACCGAGTGTACAAACCCGAGTCAAAGTGAGCGCCACACACGTGTCCCTTTTGCACTTCTATACCTTAACTTGATTCATTCGCCCACTCCATTTCGACCCATTTATTTCTCCGACGTTAAATCCTCTCGATACCTACAATCCATTATATTTCACTGAAGATGGAAAATTTATATAGCGCTCCATATCTCATGACGTCATGGGAAATCATTGGAGACCATTCTCCATTTTATATCATTTTAGCAGAAAAATTCACTCAAAAAATTGATAGCCCCTGTAGCTAAGCATTCGGATACTATATACCCGGAAAAAAAAATTGTAATCGGAATATTTTTTTTATAAAAAAAAAATTCGGAAAAGTTTTCCCGAAATTTTGTGAAAATTCGGAAAAAATATTTCGATTACGATTTTTTTAAAACCCGGCTAGCCACTTGTTCATTTGAATTTTCTTGGACTGCTCCATTGGACTAGCTATGAGTCACCGGAAAAATAATAAAAATCATTTTGCGGTGGTTATAATCGAATGGATTATATATAGTGATCCGAATAACTCGAGTGAATCAAAGCGAATGGTCTAATGAATGTTATGCCCGGAGTATAAATGTCGGTGTCGGTGATGTTGAGCGTTGTTGACTCACCTGTGTGTTCTCGTAGTAACACGAGATGCACTTTAATTGCGCAACCGACAACAGTGCAACGTGTGCAACGTGTGCAACCGGTGCACCATTTGAATTTTTCAACAGGGTTATTATGACTCCCGCAACCACTCCATACCCTCGACTTATTACACGTCTTATTGATAGAAATTCATGATTTTTATTTGCCTGTTGCAGGTTACCACAGCTTGCCGTCTTAGCGAAGATTTTGTGCCTCCTGATGGTAAGTGCGAGCATTAGTTTCACTCGATCCATTAATTCTCATTCAATTACAACCCATCATTAAAATTCCACATTAATTAGACAGTTTTCTACTGGGACTCTGTAAAAATCCAATTTATTTCTCATAATCGGAATATTTTTTCCAAATTTTCCAAAAATTTAAATAGAAACATTTTTTTTATAATTTCATAAAATATATTCATAAAAATTTCTAGAAAATTTAAAAAAAAATTTCCGAAACGAATTTTTGAAAAATTTTTTTTTACCCGGGTCTTATCACAACTCGTCGACTCGAGTCATGAAGTCATGGACTAATGACTCTTGCCCGATGATCCTCTTTCTCTCGATTCAATGGGTTCTCGGACATTGTCTTGACAGATTAAAAAATTTATTTCAACTTCATGTCGTACAGGCGTACCCGATTCAATCGTCACGCGTCTCATGTGAACAACTGTGTGACATATCGATGAGAGACGAGTGACTATGACGAATTAGTTCCTAGGATAGATACTGATACACTACTCCAAATCCCACAACTCGAATATTACCCCGTAACCCCTCATTTCACTCTCTACCTGTCGTAGATTGATGATCATTGCTGCAACTCCCACGCATTTTATTGCCACCATTCATATCGATTGGATGTCCCCGTGGACTCCATCTCTCAATTTTTTCCAAACAAATAATACAAATAAACATCAATCCAACTTTCTGGTTAATAAAGAACAAAAAAGGGAAAACTCAGCAGAATGTTGTGGCGCGTAAAAATAAATTCACCCCGCGTAATCCCAATGAAAATTCATGATCTAGAAATTGAATATGACGTAATACCCGTCGCCAAGGGATTGAAAACAAAAATAATCGATCGGGGAAGTAACGGTGGAGTTTGGATGAGATATTCAATTGAAAAGTTTTGGGAAAACTCGTACCCCCGGTGGGAGTTGGATACCGTATAGACACTTTGTTATAACCCAACTGAGAGCGAACTGGAGTCGTTAATAAAAATGAGACATGGCTCTCTGAGTATTGTCGTAAATGTGATTTGTCCGGCTCTCTATTTTCCTGGTCCTTTTTTTTTGTTTTCCACTAGATTTTTCATCTCGATTCGTTCAACTCGAGGTGCTTTTACAGCCACCCCTACCTTCTCCACTGCCCCCCAACGCCCCCCAACGCCCTCCGCCACCCACACCACCCAAACGATGCTGGAAAATAAATTTAATGGATTTTTGGAATTATTGTAATTGCAGGTAGTGATGTGCGGGGCAGTACCGGCAATGGTGCGCTCCGTGAGTCTCTACTCGACTTGCAGCAGCGGCAATATTACCGTATTGGGCCGCGACGTCAAGGCCATGGCTCGGGATGAATCCAACGCACCTTATCGTAAGTATTTTTCACCTCGATTTTTATTCATTGCTAAAGTGAAGTATTTATTCGATTTGAAAAAAATAATCCTGGAGTCATTTCGATTAAATATTTTCCTGCAACACCAATTAAACGAGTCCTCTCCACGACTCCACGGAATGAATCATTCCAAAAATTGGACCAAGTTCCGAAAAGGAGTCAAACGAAAAAGGAGAAAAAAAAAAACAAAATAATTTCCGAAAAACGAGCGAGAATGGTAACGCCTTCGAATTATCATGCCCGAAAAAATCTGGCTCGCGTGCACACTGCAATTTGCCGAATAATTCGTGAGAGCCATTTCGTTATTTTTCTTTTTTCTTTTAATTTACCAGCCGGCGTGTCACGAAACATTGGGTATGGCACAGCCGAAATGGAATATCAACGAAAAACTCGTGGTAAAGAACTGTCCGCCCTATTCATGCCAGGCGGCATCTCTGTGAAATAATTTCACCTTCGTTTATAGTGTGAGGCCACGCAAAAAAAAAAAAACAAAGTGGGTGGCAGAGGGAGGAAAGGGAGGGAAAAGGTAGCGAGAGAATGGCTTGAGTAAACAGAGGAGCAACTTTTCGCGCGCCCCACGCTGAGTTCTCAGTCTTCACCGTCTTCACCGTCTTCACCGTCCTCACCTCTCCAAAGATCCATCGCCTTGTACCCCATACCTTCCTGGCGTACCTAATACTCGTTCTGACTTCACATGTAATTAATCAACATCACGTGAGGAGCCATTTCCACAAGCCGATCATCCCGAGAACATCCACTCGTCCAAACAAATTTCCTCTTTATTTTTTATCGTCATATTAATCGTTAAAAATGAAATTTTTAGTCAAGAATTTTCCCAGCAACGGCTCATCCACTTGATAATCTCCCCATTTTTTTTCATAATTACTGGAAAAATCGTATTAATGACCTGCGATAGAGATGTTACGCTCCAACGAATTTGCCAAAGCTTCCTGTGAGGATCATGAGTTTCGCACTGTATGTTTATCGCGATATAGGGAATATTGACGTCGAAATGATACCGCAGCCCGACTGGAAATCATCGGAGAACTGGAATTTAATTAATCTACTGTGAGAGAACTGTGATTATCGTGTTGAAGGTTTAAACATGACATGTTCAACCTTTGATCTCTCCTCCCCAAACCATTTGCTTTGTACACCGAGAAAACAAAACCATTATTGCACGTCCCTTCATTTTTCATCATGACGGATAATTAAATAATCGAGTGAAATAATCGGGCAGACGTAATTTTAATGTTGAGGAATTTTCAGTGGATATTGGTGGGACTGGTGCACCCCCAGGAGCTCAATCCCAACTCGCCAATTAATTGTTCCACCTTCCATTAATTAATTGGAGATACATCCTCACTGCGGGATGCCGATTGCCATCAGATACATCCCCTCTTCTATCGATTGAGTGCCAAGCCGCAATTTGTTCTCTCGCCCTCAGCGCTTCTCTACTTTATGTTCCAATATAAGTGGTAAATACCCATTTTTATACACGTCAATGCGAGATCGATTGACCAGTTCTATTTTCGTGATAATCAAATTCCAGCAAGCCAGTGACTATTAGTTCATCCACTCATGCGTTGAGATTTAATTGAAGAGACGAGTTCATTACCACTGTTTTATGGTTTATGATTTGAGATCGAGTGATGAATAATTGATAAAAATTTCTTCAATGATAAAGAAAAATTATCGAGGCCGGAAGTCTGGTGTTCAATTCACCACACAATCTCGTGGGGATAACCGTGAAAATTAAGATTAAATAAATGATCATTTAATTGTCATTGATGGAGGGAAATGAGAGAGGCTGAGATTTGTTGACGAGACCACACATTGGGAAAGGTGACAAGAGGGAAGAGCCAGGGTGGCCCATTTGCTGCTGCGCCTCGTTAAATTCAAGTGGTCCTGACATCGGAATCAAGAATGTCCCCCAACAGCCTCATAAAGGCTTTCTCCTCTCTTTTTTTCTCTCCTCCGGTGATACCTCGAGTCTCGTACTTTATTATTAATTATCATTAATTTTAATTCCATAAATTTGTGAGAAGTAGTGAAAAAAAAAAACAGAAAATGTGATAAACAATTTCCCTGAGGATTCCAGAGGAACTCTGAAGAATTCTTATCCAAAGTCGCTCAGGCGTTCATCCTGGGTCCCATCCCAGGTTATTATCCTGGGTAATGGTGCCTAAAAGCCGGTGCTCCTCGCTTTTGATTAAAATTGCCTTTTAATTCATTTGGGTCAGCCTCTAATCTTGCGGCTCGCCGATACCCCCAATGAAATGAAACACTGGGCCATATACTAAACTATTGCAACGAGTTCATGAATAAATTCCCTCGCCCTCTACTTTTCCTCCAATTCTCCTTAAACTTTTATTATTTTCCATTAATTGCCACTATCAATACGAGGGGCTTAAGGGATTTGTTAATAAATTAAAGACCAATTTCGACGCTGAGATTTCAGTAGTCCTGAGGAATCTTAAGTGCAGCATCGCGTGACAGAGGAAGCCGACCTGTTTATTTTAATCTCCAATCCAGTCAAGATCTCAACAATGATACTGATATTCAAATTAGATAGGACCGGTGATGGGATGTTAACGTTTCAATAATAATCAGGGGTGGAAGTGGAAATTGTGCCGTTGTAGAATTAAATAAATAAAAAATCGATGCTGTTATAATATCAGGTTAAATTCATGAAAGTGCATTGAACTGATTGGTGATGGTTTAAAAAATGAATGAACGTGAAAAGCTCGATGGATTCGCTTCAGACTTAGCATAAACTGTTTTAATTAATTTAACAAACCCATTTCCAGTGGAGGTAGTGTAAATTTATATAATTTCCACTCGGCCCGATGAAATAAATGGTGGCATTCCCTTTTGGTTAATTTTGTAAGTCAGTGAAATTCACTGGACACGAGGTGTCCAGGTACATTTACTCCAGGACAGGTCTGCTAAGTGGAAAAGTACACAGCGTACCGTCTGTGTCTCCTTCATTAGCACCAACTAGCTCGCGGATTCTTCATACGTATTCCTCTCGTCTTGGCACGCAATGTACAAGTGTGCTAGAAAGAATAAAAGAGAGAGGGTAAAAAAATGAGAGTCCCTCCGATGTGAGACACGCCATAAACCTCAAGAGGAGCCAATGCTCTTTTCTCAGAAAATTTACCTCTCAGTACATATTCCCGAACGGACATTCCTCACTACGCCATTCGCGTGTTACCGTACCAATATTATTTTTTTCTCTTTCTCTTCTCTTTTATATATTTTTCACTCGTCTTTTTTGTTGAATCGCGTACGTCTTCCGGGGCTCTATGATGTATGGGCAAAATGGGGAATTCCGGATGGTCGGGGGCACAACATTTGGTAATTCTTTGTGTTTGATTTATGTTGCAGAGAAACTATCGACACAGTCCGACGACTTCAGTAAGAAGTTGTACATATATGCTGAGAAATCGCAACGGTATATTTGTTTTAATAAACGATGGAAATTAGTTGCACTGGTGAGTACAGATCGTTATTGTTTAGTCAATAATTTATCGATAATCGTAGCACGTCGGGGGGAGAAAAAAATATTCCACTATCTCACGGTAAATTCCATGGACGTCATCATCGTCGAGGTCATTCTCGACGTGTGTCAATAAAAATTTAATGCCACAACTTCAAAAAAAAAAAAAAATTACGTAACGTGCGTTTGTTGGGGTGATTCATCCAGCATTAATTTCCCTCATGTTTTTATCGAGAAGATCGTGAAAATTGAAATCCATCTAGCAGATGCGTCAATGAAATAACGAATATCGTTATCTGTTAACAGCCAAAAAAGCAGAGGGACGCGATGTGTCAGTTCTACGAGTCATACCACGGCTCCTACCTGAGGTACAACAGCGCGGTGGATTCGACGAAATACCTCGGCTTCAACAAATTTGGCAAACCGATAAAAGGCCAACGAGTTAGACAACAATGTTTCAACTTCATGAAATACAATCCAAGTTTCAGTATTTCTGCGCACAATGAGCTCATGAACAAAGGCTCGAGCGATCACACAACAACCATCACCAAGAAGCATCATCAGAGTCATCATCCAAGTCAGAGCCGATCACCAGGTCACAGAGCCAAGAAGAATTCGATTCAGGGTGATCTTACGAGAGAAACCACTACCCATCGTCACCGGCACTCAAATCGTCTAAAACAGCACGACGAATTTCCTATTCCCCGGAGACGACACCAGAGCCGCCTTCTGGCCCCCAAATACTGAGCTGAATCTACTTGATGAAGAAATTCAATTCCTTCAATTCAGTTTTTTCGATATTATTTTTGGCTCGATGATCAAGACTGTCTCACTACCGTGAGGAAATAAACAAAATATTCAGAGTTGTTCCAAAAAGGAATGGCTTGAGTAGCGCCCACGTCAAGGCGCTAGACCAACCCCCCCAACACCCCCCAACACCCCCTCACACCCCCTTACCACAATCTCCTATTAATTTTGAGAGTCGTGAATTTTTAATCCAAGATGATGACATATACCCCCCTGGAGGGGATCACAGGGCCCTCGTATGCGCAGCAAACCCCCCCTATCCTCCCCCTTTCCTCCCAACCCACCATTTGATGGGACAGAATGGGCGCCATTGCCCTCCCGCCCCCCTACCCCCAAATAAATCTCGATCGCGTCTATTTAATGCGGAAAAACAAGTAGAGAAAATAATAATTCGCCTGCGCAATACCGCCTACTTAGTCTATGTACGTTCCATATGTGTTTGAGAGCTCGTCCAATGTATGTGCGCGCTCAATTCCCCGGGGAGGGGGGTGTGGTGTGAGGGCGGGAAAAGTCCATGGATTCGAGAAATGTTTTTCCTATTTATTAAATTCTCAGATCAAACTTTCTCGACTATTCGTTCGACACACGCTTGACCCGTGGCTCATTATTTCCCGTGTCTCTCCCCCTCTCCCGAGGTGCGCTAAAGTATTTTTTAATTTTTCTATTGGTGAAAAAGGTACGAACAATCCTTGTGGTATGTGAAATCGATGATAGACTGGACGTCAGGTAATTATTCATCGTTTGAGAGAGAAAATTGTGAGGTGCGAGTGTATGAATATATTGTATGGGTGAGAGTATTTGGCTGAGTGTGATGAGCTTTTTCGTGTGTGCGCGAGTGTGTGTAATATAAATGAAAATGATACAATAATGTTAGAGGGAATTTAATCCTTAGGATGCTATTGCAGACTGTATTATTAGGTTAGGCACAATACGGATTATGACGCTGTGGCGACTCGGCGAAGAGAAATAACGATTGTTCTGATGGATATCACCAGAGTTGGAGGACTAGGTGAATAGTCAACGTGAAATTTCAATTTCAATGATTCTCTGGGAAATGGTTAAGGCGTTAGCCTCAGCTCTGGCAATGACATTGAATTTTATGACTCGCCAGTGTCGTCTGCAGAGAATTTGTAATTTTGATCAATCACCTGGAGAAAAACTTGTTCAATGCCAGAAAATGGAAAATTAAATCTTGAATGCTGATCCTTTTTTTCTCACATTCATAGACATTTTTCTTCAAATGTGTGATTAACCTCCCCCGATGGAATCCAAATACACAGTGCCATGGATAGAAAATTGTATAAATTTTGAGTTTAATATGAAAAATAAAATGTCGGTATGCACACCGGACCACTGCCAGGGCCCATTTCTTTTCGCAGGGTCGCCAACCTCGAGAAGCGCCTGCCCCCTTCCAAAATAAGAGATTTAATGAATTGAGTAAATCGACGACAATTCGCTTGTTAGGTAGCTTATTTATTGAAATCATGTTTAGATATTACGCGAGAGGAACAAAAATAAATTAATGATCCTTCCTTTATCCTCGTACTTTTGCACACGAATTATTCATTGTGTAATAATTGATCGTTTGCTCTCTCCTCGACTGGCTACTGCGATTTTCTTTATCAAAATTGCATTTTTTTTTTCTTTTCAAAAAATAAAATAATACTCAAATACCTACTTACCCATTAATTCTCTAGACTTGACGCGTGGTCTCCGGACGTGCAGTATTCCAATTCTAAACAGGCCGAAAAGTTAAAAAAAAGAGAGCAAAAAAAGACAAACACTGACCATTGAAAAAATCTAATGCGAAAATTGGTGAATAATAAGAACGTAAATTCGACGCTTATAATTTAATAACAGACAAATAATATAACATGTAATGTATTGTATTTGTAATATGGTATTGTAACGCCAACCTCTAAAATAAAACTACTCATTTTTTTTTTTATTTTTTTATTTTCTTCCCCACAGAAGACATTTTATTTTCACAATCCTCCCCCCTCCCTCTCCCCGACGAATGAAACAATAAAAACCTCATAATCACAGGAAAAAACGACAGAAGCCGAAGGGAAACGAAAAAAAAAAACACAAGAATCTGACTACCCTAGATAGATAGTATACATAATAAATAATATTAAAATAAATGAATAAACAAAAATTAAAGTATAAATATTATATATAAATAAATATATGAAAGACGATGTGTATTGTAAGATATTTAATACCGAAAAAATTGTTAGGCACTCTCAAATAAAAAATATTAAAAAGAATGATGATGGATGAATCTTCGATATACGAATTGTCAAGTGATTGGTGATAAGTGAGAGTCAGAGTTAAATTGACAACGGTATGACCGCAGATGAGATATTTCAGGAGGAAATAACGTGTGAAAAAAAATATATATATATATTTAAATCTGTATGTTGCTCTCGACACTATTCGCGTTGTAAAACATAGAGGCATACTCCCGTTATCCACTAAATCGATGTGTTGATGTAAACGGACGTGCTACAGTCGTTGAGGCAAAGACATTATACTGATTATAGTCCACAATTTACCAGTCAATCCCTTCCGCAAAAAATGCACCGGAAAAAAAAATTAATCCTTGAATAACTATTGAATATAACTATTGAGTTATCAAGGGCCCACTGACTGACTCCTCCAAAGAAAGCCCCGACAACAAAATGTTTAAACCAGCGCATGACTTTGTTGTAGACTCAACAATTGTTTCTCTTTTTTGTTTTTTTTTTTTTCTCTAAAGGGAATATATTTGCCACGACTATTGCACGCTCGCCAGCAGCTAGCGATAAAAAAGGCATTCCAACTTAAATGAAAATACATTTAAAAAACTCACATTCATAACTGCGAATTCTATAAGTGTGTGCGCTGCAAATACGAGAGAAAAGGAAACACTGTCAAATACACGCTCATACACTGCTAAATCCCTTGTGTTTATTCATTCAATTCCCAATTCCTTCATCAGAACAAACGGAGAAGATCGAGGAAAAATTTGAGATCCAATTATGCGATCGACAGAAATAAAAAATTAATTCCGTCATTCACTGCAAGATCACTGAAAAATTTTCTAAATTAAATTCCACCTACATTCTAAATTAAACAATTCTGTCGGTATTAGTCGTAAATAGTGAAGAGGCCATTGAGTTTTACCCTCAGCTGTCATCGGATTAATCCCCTCTACAACGGAAGTGAAAATCAAACAAGTTGGCATTGAAATGGACTTGAATTGGGGTTGGCGTTCACCACAGGCAGTGGTAAAACCCCTGGTGAACTTCACACATGGAGACCAGAATACAAACCTAGAATTTTTTTTTCCAAACTCAAGAGCGTCTGTCTCGCCACTTCAATTGCCGAACCATTGATTCCATCGTCGATGGATTTTTATCTGGAGGACTCACCAAATAATGTCGAAAAATCTCAACCGCCCCTTCGTTTGCTCCTCATCCTCATATTCTTCAGGTTTATCGGGCCCTTCGGGGTAACCTTTCCATTTCCAAATACATTCGAGTGCTTGATCTGAAAAACACACAAAACTACCGAATACCGGTAAATCCCGAGCCCTCGGGCTCACGATTATGACCCGGAAAACAACCTGATGACAATCTAGATGCTGTAATCTCTTCATTCACGAATTATTGAAATGGAGAGGGATTACCGTAGGTTTCGGCGGTCAACGGTCTTTTATGTGGCAGTCTGGAATTTTAATACATCGGATGCTCCTCTGATGACAGATTTTTCCAGTTTGTGGGTTGGATTACTCAGGGCAGATGAATTCCGAGGGAATTCTCAGAGAGGCTTTTTTTTTTATCAAATATTTTTGGACAAGACTTTCGTATTCATGACGGAATTCACTCCGTCAAAAGGCGTCGTCGGTAGTCCGTTCATTCATCACCCTGAATATTTAATCCCTACACCGAGAAAAATCGTCGGTTATATATTCTCATGCAGGAAAATAATTCCCGGAGTAACACCTTCTGAGTACATAATCCAAAGTAATTAGCAAGTTTATTTCTCCCCGGTCGGTGCTTCTGTACCCCAATTTGTCTGTTTTAACAAAACTCGATTGACCTATGGAGGTGTAAAAAATCGGTTGTAGCTAAAGTGCGAGGAGGCGAGAAACCGAAAATCGGGGCACAAAGAGGTGGTCAGTTTGTTGAGGAATTAGATGTGGCAGTGAGACGGGTCATTCAACGAATTTTCATGGCTGTGGAATGGTTTGAAAAAAGAAACTATTGAGGCAACTCCATCCTTCAGGGAATGAGAGACGTATATCCGGAAAATCGGAGGGAGAAATACCCACACCATCCCTGGACCCTCGGACTACATCACAATGAAGACTCCACCCGTAAATAATCCTCGCTAGACCCCATTCGTACGATATTCTCAATGGAGTTTGCCATTCTTTATCGTTTAATTGTCAGTCTGTAGTTGACTTCAGCAAATTTATGTGGCATCTGTGCCGCCATTTTGCGTATTAATTCGTCTATGTAATCGAATTTTTATTAAAAAAATATCACCTGTTTAAAACGACTTTTAAGACGTTGAATCGCTGGAATTCCACCGGTGGAAAAATGTTGAGTTCTTTAATTGGAGTTTGGGAGATGAAATTTTTCGGTCAATCGTCCTCTTATCTCGCTATTATACCCGGTTAATGGCAGATGCCAGGGGAATCACCGGAAATAGTGCTCTCGGTAGTTCGACAAAGACCACCGGCATTATATCGACGATCCGTTTTATACGTGTAATCCTCGAGGTACATGCTCGATGATAAAATTTTATACTGCTGATAATTTTCGTCCAAGCCCATTATCTCCGAAGAATCTATTAATTTTAATTAACGAGACGAATTCGACTCGGACTGATTTTCTCGGGTCATCCGTTACCCTATCTATGGTGAACGCTAGAAATTTTATTTAATTATAATATTATCCCTCAAAATATAATATTTCTAATTGTAATATCTTTAATATTTTTTGTTGTATTGGTTTTATAATATATAAATAAATAAATAGCCCCATGAATTTTAATTAACGACGAATAGTATACCGAGAATTTCCTTAATTTTTTTTCTAATTACGTCGCAATGGGGAAATTCTGTTCTTGGCAGTCATAAAAATTCCAAACCCCTGAAATCTCGTGCCCCTGACGCCTCAATTTCCATATAAATCCCATTGAATCGAGAGCAGTAAACGAATGAGACTTTATTATACCATGAATATATTTTTTTCCATACGTCCACCGTTGTCCTATCTCCACCAAATTCCCAAGATAAACCAGTGAAAACATGACAGAATGGCTAATATATATTTTTTTTTTCCCAATCCGGAGTGCATATTGCCGCCTGAGAATATAATAACGCATAAAGGGGCGAGAAGGAGATAAGTGCGAATTGCACATTGCACGGTAGAGACAGGTAATCGTCGAGGAGTTTACGAAGGCGATAAGTTAGACCCGGGCAAAAACTAATACAGCGGCAAATAACAGGCATTACTTATACTTACACCTTTAAACTCAACGCGCCGCACGCGTGTTTGCTCAATGAAAGGTGCAATGCACACCTCTTTACTTGCCATCTTTTACTCCTTTACTCCTTTACTCCTCCCAACCTCCCAACCTCCCACCCTCCTCCTCCTACCCCACCCCTCACCCCTTTTCCCGATATATTCCATTATATCATATAATATCTCCTTTAAAATCTTCTTCTTTGACTCTATTTTATTCTACCATCTATTCTTTATTTCAACAATTTATAATTATTATTATAGTTAGTTTCTGGATGGAATTGGTAATTATATTAGGAATATTTTTATTGTCGTTTGGAAAATGGACAAATGAATTTGTCATGGATTTGATTGGAGGACATCAGACGATCTCGTGTAATCATTTGTTCTCCATTCGTTAAGGTGATTTGGCAATTGGCCCAGTTCTCCAATTATCGTGATGAACTCTTTTGGAGATAACGAACCAATACGAAGAGTAATTAGAATGGAGCAGTTAGGATGTGGGGCTCGTGATAAAGTGGTGGATTTAATAAAATGAATTTGTTACAATTGAGAAGTGGTGTAAGTTGGATTGTGTGCAGTTGAAACGAGACTGCAACACGATAAAAGCGGTCGACGAGCGATAAGAGGGTGACCCAAGGCTAAACCAGCGACTACGAGGTGTCTCCCTTTAATGATTATTTTCACGTGTGGCCCTATCTGTAATGAGAGTCATTAAATTTATTGGTGAGATTGTTATAACAATTGGGGGGAATTCGAGTCCCGGATGGATGTTATCTGAAATCAGGCACTCATCAGGCACAAGGCGTGAAGATAATTTCCTCATAATTCGCTGTTTCAAGTGACTTTTAATTATCTCGCGCTTTTTTTTATGGGGAAAAATAGATACTGTTTGCTTGGATTATTGTCCATCGAGAGTTTAATTAAAATCGTGATATATACCGGTAGCTAATCGACTCGGTTATGATTCCTCGACGCAGAAGATGAAGCCGGTTCGGGTACCAGTGGGTTCAGTGATTTGTAATTACTGCCTGATAATATGATACACTTGGGTTTCAAGGGGTTCTCATGTTTTAGTGTCATCGGAGTGGGATCGCCAAGAAATATAGATCGATATAATATTTATTGTTCCTAAAATTAAACAAAGAGATAAAAAAATCATTTTTTTCAGTGAAAAAACGGCAAAAAAAAATACTACGGCCATTTCAAATATTTAATCGATGACCAATTTCCTTCGACTTATCACCCCCATAAATCAATGATTACCATGGAATTCGTGATCCAATTCTAGGTATCGCGAGAGGCATTAACGAATGACGAAAAAAAAAAAACTAATGAAATACCGAGGGTAAGATAAAAACAATAAAGGCTGTCTTATCTGGCGAAATAGCATTGGCTTGTACCTCCACCCTGAAAATCTGTGGGAATTTTTCGTGGCCACGGTGCCCGGGTTTATTAAAATTCCAGGCTGTATTTTATGCAGCACGATGCTGCATACAAGACAAACTGAGAGAGGGGCACGAGGGGTGAAATGAGGGGGAGATGAGGGCACGCGACTGTTCGACTTGGATTGTAATCTCGTAAGATCTACACCCACGTGCACTAAAACCTCCAAGATCGTTGCCTGCTCCTGTCCTTTTTCTCCGTCTTATTTCACTCCTCCTCGGGAATGTTAAAACGTGACCCCAGGGACTGATAAACAATGCCTTTATGGAGGTACGAAAAAGTGATTGTACCTGGAGTTGAGGAGAATGAGGTAATGGAGAAAAGGGGGAAAACATCAGAGATGAGATGAGAATATTTTTCTCGTCATGTCTCATTTCATCGATTGAACACATAACAATTTATATATACTAATTATAATAATTATAAATCTCACACGGAGAGAAATATTTTGTCAAAATTACGGAATGCAAAAAATTTCCGTAGCTTTGAATAAAAATAACGTGACATCGGAAATAAGTTCCGTCAAATTTCCGATAATTTTTATTGAATGTATTTCCATCTGTGCAGATTGAATCAAATCTGTGCAAATGATGAGTGAAATTTTCACTTGCACGTATGAAAGTTTAATAAAGATGCTTGCCCACGTGGCTGGGGCACGCTATGACAGCGGTAATGGTTCACGGTGTAATAAACATCTGCAGGTGAGATATGCACATTATCCTGTGTACAGTAGGGGGTGTGAGGACGTGGTGAGTTCCTGAGAAAAACAGATAGTGCGGATCTCACCCGTTAGGTATTGACGCTAATTCACCGGCATCTCGGATTTATTTGAGAATATATTACTTCATGGAATTTATCAGGATGTAAACGACTCCTTATCAGCGATTCCCGTGTGATTTTCGAGGATTCACAACGATTTCATGGAGACAAATCAATTATTCCCGTACATTCACTCCGCAAAGACACAATCACACGTTTTTCAATTCTCCGTATTAAAAAAAATATGTAATTGAAAATTTTAATCAACTATTCAGTTTTCCTGTAACACTTCTGTTTTATGATGCATGGAGTTACATCAGCTGCGTTCCACAGATTGCGAAAAAAAATACATATATATTCTCCGTTATCATCTAACGGTTGAGAAATTCATGGAGTAATTCCTAAATTCGTGTGGCAATTTTAGAGTGAAAAAATGAATAACAGAATGCACGTGGTACATGAAGTCGGAAATTTAAAACCGAATAATTCGGGGTGCGTGTCTCTGCGTGGGGCACAGGCTCATCCCAATTCAATACCAATCACATACAATTTTTCATCATTATCGTCATTGTCTTGTTTTTTATTCACCATTATTGTCTCCGGGTATTGCCGTCAGATATGCAAACTATGCAGCTTGGAATCCTTGGATGAACACTCAAAGATATCGCGTCTCATATGTTAATGACGGAATGCAAACCAGTTGATTGGTACAACGGGGTCTTATATCATTCTTAACCTTAAGCATTATTAATTTTATAATTCTTTTTGCGCTCGTTCGAGCTATTGAATTCCTCTCCTTATTCTCATTCTCACTAGTTTCTTTATCTATGCCTCCAGAATAAATGATTGTTGTCGCCCAGATGGAAATATTTCCATTATCAAATTTCAATTTTCCCAATATTTTTTATCTATTATTTATGAATAAATTGAATAAAGCGTATTCTGAAATTCAATTGAACGGCAATTCTCGTGAGAGAACTAGCGCCTCGCAGGTGCAGAAAATTAAAAAAATAAAATAAAGGAGAGACCATGAAGCATCAGGCCATGGGGGCTTACCTTGGACCACATTATCCCATCCACAGCTTCCATACGTCTCCCCCTTATGAGCTCATTTCAAGTATTGTTATAACTGTATTTTTAATTTAAAAGCGTCCTCAATGTGCACCACTCACCCATCCACGCACACCAACAACCGAGGTTTAATTACAAGCCGGCTGGTTATACCTCTCACTGTTTGAAATTGCAACTGACGGATGAAAGTGATTTACGTACTACCAGAGGAATAGATAAAATACTCAGATTAAAATAAATCACATTTATGAGCAAATTCCATGGAGTTATTATCACTGACACTAGTTTTCCCGGGCATCGACGTAACTATCGTTTATTCATTAAATTCTCCATTAATGAGAAAAATTGCCCATCAAGAACGAGTTCTTTCAATTTCTTCTTTACTTTTTATTTGAACAAAAAAAAAAATCCCCCCCCCCAAGGGGCCAAAAGAACCAAAAGGGAGAAAAGAAAATAACGGAATTTAACAATAAAAAAAATACCTTCACGCGGTAAGTCAGAACATCTGCCCTACCAATGGCTGATTCCCTCCAATCCGCAATCCGCCATTTTGGAAGAGCGGGACGCGCGCACTTTATCATAAACTCTCGTGTTTGGTGTTTTCAGATTGAGATTCAACGATAGCACGCTATCACTGAAAAAATTTTATTCCCACAAAATCTATCATTTATTCAGAGAACATCAACAGTTTATTATCTCACCAGCCCTGATCCTGAGCCCATCGACCGGTGAGTGGACAAATAATTTCTCATTATTATCAAAATCGAGACAATCGAACAGCTCCGGGGAGCGAATATCGGTGGACATAACCTAGCACATCGATATCGGAGTGATTAATTTGGAGTCCAGGTGGATTCCCGGGGTGATTGTTTATCGATAATTGAGCGGTAAAATTAGGGGAAAAATGAGCCCTTTGAACAGAGGACCGTTGCTCGGTCCAAGAATGCCACCAGCTGGTATGCGACCACCACCGAGATTTGGAAGGCATCCGATGCCGGGTATGCCACTGCGTATGCCACCACCACCAATGCCACCGATGGGTGGAATGTTTGGACCCATGAGACAGAGAATGCCACCACCACCACCGAGACCTGGTGGTATGATGAGACCAGGGCCACCACCTCCGCCACCGCTTTTTGGCCCGAGAGGTCGAGGACCTCCACCACTCATGATGCCCATGATGGGACCCAGGTGTATGGGACCCAGGGGGCCTCCCATCAGGCCTGTACCCAGGGGAATTCTTCCTCCTCAGGGGCTACCACACATGAGACCAAGGTTTCCACCTGGTAATGGAAACATGAAGGTCAAGAGCATCAATAATGCCAGGAAAGTCAACAAATTGGAGGTAATTTGGTCGACAGGATTTTTCACTCTTGTCCTTCCTCTTCCTTTTTCAATTCGCTAGACACGTTCTCCAGCGTTTTTTGTATTTGTTTTTTTTTTGGCTGGTTTTTCTCCGAAAATTGAGGAGATATTCCCGGGGAATAGGGCAGGTCTTTCCGTTTAGATTAATTTTGGAAAATCTAGTCTTGGAAAATCCTGAAACGATTTCTCCCTTGCGATCCAGGAGCTCGAGTTAAAGAAACCCTGGATGACAGATGAGATTCGTAGTGAGATACAGAAGAAAAACAAACTATATGCCAAATCCAAAAAGAATAAGGATGCTAAAGAGTGGGAGGAGTTCAAAGATCTGAGAAATAAAGTGACGAGGATGATCAGAGATGCGAAGAACGAGTATCTTGCCAAACATCCAGACCAGGTATGAAATATTATCTCTACGTCCGACTAATTGACTGGACAATACGTGGTAATTTTTAACGTGAAATAACAATTTCCCGGTGTCAATTCGAGGAACTCAGACCATGAGAGGGTCCCCCGTAAAGCATTCTCATTTTCTTTTCAACATCAGAAACCCTATTTAAAATTTCATATTTAGCAATTGACAAAAAATAGCAAAATCATAAATAGCGAAATGACTATTACAAACGTCAGTTGATCAAAGCTGATTTACTTGCAGGGCGGTCAGAAAACAGGTGATAAGAATACAGTTGAGTCCGAGGGTGTTCAGGAAACTGAAAAATGTGAAAGACAACCTGAACAAACGGTGAAAATGGAAGTTAAGGAGGAGATGCAGCCTACCAGCGAACAGGCTCAGTCTTAAAGCTTCGGGCTACTCCTCCATAATTAAATAATAGAAGAAAAACCTATTGAAAACAAGTTGATTATTATTCTAAATTGAACAGCCCTAATTTGCGACGTAAACTAGTAATCACGTTCCAATTTGTATTTTGAGAGATATTAATGAGAAAATTAATAAACTAGTGAAGCATTAAATAATCTCGTAGCACTGACGAATGCATTGAAGCTTGGATATTAAATTTTATTGGATACTGTACAATTAATTTCTGCTCGAGGTGATTGCCCCTCCTGTGATTTCAAATCAATTATCAATTAATAAGAGGGAGTGATTCATTATTCAATAAATTCGAAGAATACTATAGTAATTCAATGAAAAAATTTTCATACTCATTTTCTTCATTATATTTCACTGTGAAACCATAAAATATGAGTTGACTTACAATGTTCTGAGACTGGTATTCATAATTTTGCAACTTAATTCATCAGCGAATTTAATAAATAATTAATAGACCAGTGCTTCGAGCCCAATAACATTCCTCGCTGATAATGGCAATAGCATTGTGTCATCACGATAATATGACTTGAGAGAATACGTATATGAGATGAATTTATTCGTAGATTATTTATTAAGTAATAACCGATTAAAAGTAGAAATTTAATTCACTTCTGTCAACTTATGTTCTCAGAGTTCTGTTTCATTTTTTAAGTTGTATAAAGAGATTTTTGCTGAATCAGCCCCCATGACTTGTCATCAACTCTTGTTTTTGCTGTTTGTTCCAAATGACATTTGTACCTAATTTGTAATAATCGGTATCCACGATATTATTGGAAACCCCTAAAGAACGGTGAACATAAAGAAAGAAATTTGTATTCAAATTTTAAATGTAAGGAATAAATGATATTTCTACAAGTTCTAAAACTGTTGTTTATCGTAATTTTTATTATTATTTTTTTTTATCACACAGTTTTAAATTATCGAATGTCCTGAATTTTTTTATTTCCTTCAAACTCAATGTGAGGAATCAAGAAATTATACTCGACGATGCTTTTCTAGTTTCCTGAGCACCATTCATTTATTCGTACTGGGGAAATGGATCGGTTTTTTACTCGTGAAATTAACACAAGAAAATTCGTTAATTACCCAGAGAAATTTTAAGCAAACATTTTTAGGCAGCACTCTACCAAGATGAGCCACTCTATTGTGATATAAGGGATGAGAATTATACGAGCAGTGAAGAGGATGATAATTACTACTGTGAAATATGTGATCGTGATTTTCAAACAGAAAAATTACTCGATGATCACAAGAGAATACATCGAGTTTGTGGTATCGATGGTTGTACCTTTTCTGCTCATCCCAAGTTGATTGAAAAACATATCACAATGCAACATTGCACTGGCCTGTATGACAGGATGAAAAATATTAAAACACCTGAAGATATTGACAATTGGATTGCCGAGAGGAAGAGGTAATTTCGCAACTAAATTTCACTCTCACCATTTACCCCTTGATCCTTGACTTTCAATTCCAACAAAAAATTATTACATGCTATTTATTATAGGAAATATCCAACCAAATCGAATATCGAGATGAAAAAGGCAGAGACTCTCGAGAAGAAAGAGAGAGGAGAAATTATTGAACGGGGTAAAAGTAAAATTCAGTCTTCCCAGCAAACTAGGAAGCCAGTGCGGGAGCGGAAACGTAGAGGGAAAAAAAGACGAATTTTTGAGTTTAAAGCGGATCCTGTAGAGGATGGAGAATCTCAGTGCTGCAATGGGATTCAGCCGTTCAGAGGGACATGTCAGAAATTTTTATTAATTTCCCTTTTTCCCTTTTGGCTACTTATTTTTATTCTTAATGACAAAGAGATAATTATTTTTTTAGATTCACTGGTGGAAGTGGAGGAAGACGTTGCTCCGGTTGAATCAGTAGACAACAGTCCATCAGGCATTCAATTCTCAGACGATGAGGATGACGCAATCCCACCCAATAATTCAAATATTGAATTAAATCCAGTGTTCAGTTTGGTAGCTGATTATGGAAGTGATTCCGATGGTAATTATCTCATTTATCACAGCCTAAAAAATCTGCTCTAATTAATTATTTTCTCCAAGATCTCCCAGAAGAACTGCCAATAAAAAAGATGAAATTAGAGGACCCTGAGAAAATAGAGTCTCTTCCGGTGCCAGTCATGACTCCAGCGAAGGCAAAAAATTCCAGAAAAGAGTCCAGTAAGATGAACCCTAGAAAACCAACTGACGAACCCTCAAATTCCATGGGTAAGCCACACCCAAAAAGGCTGATGCTGCTGGAGCGATTGCTCTCCAGATCAATTCAGCACGAACGAAATTACATCTGCCAATGCATAAAATATATTGCAGACAACAATTTTTTTGAATAAAAATCGAAACTCTGGCACTCTTGTAAAATAAACTGCCTTTATTATACAAAATCATTCTCCACTCTCAACCTGATAATCAAAAAAAAAAAATCTACATCCTAATCACTTTGAGAAGCGTTTCTTCTTCTTTTTTTTTCCCTCGCGCTCCTGAAAATTTCCTTCCGAGATATCAGAGGCCCTTTTCTCCCCACTTTTAACTGAAATCAAACTCTTGCTACCCTTTGCCTTTAACACATTACTCCACTCCTCTTCACTCCCTTTAATAGCATACTGTTCAAAATTCTCCTTCTTGAGCCTCTCGAGCTCCACCATCTGCTTGTGCTTGAGCTCCTTGGCAGCCTGATCCAACTCCACCTGGAGACTCTTCCCCACCTGAGCATCAACTTTCACGTCATCCCTTTGCTCCCTAACAATCATCGTTTTCTCCACGAACTCCTCAGCCACTCCATTCAAGTACTGCATGCACCTCCTGATGATTCTATTAAATAATCCAAGAAGCTGAGATGACGGTAGGCCCAGCTCCTCTGCCAATTTATCTATAGTTTTCTGCTGGAGACCAACGCCCAGGAGAATTGCCTCCTGGACAGCTGACAATTTAGTATCACCCATAAGACCCAGGAAATAAAGTCTAGATAAAGCTGGCAGCAGATCCATAATTAAATGATAGTCCACCATATTTTTGGAGTATCCTTCCAGCCTCTTCAGGTCATAAGGCGTGAAATAAACGTCCAGCATGTCCTTCTTGATTATGGTGGTCTCCCCCTGGAAGGATTTATTACTCAGGAGCCCGAGAGCGAGAGCAGGAGAATACGAGGAAAACCCATAGGACAATAGACTGATGAATCTTCTCCTGAAGTCCTTCCAGAACGCCTCGAGCCATTCGAAGTCCTGACCCTCTTCAGAATTTATTTTACTGATCATAATGCAAGAGTGTTCTCCAGTGATGTCATTGGTAGTTTGCCTGAGGTAAACAGGAACGAACCCTGAACGCTTCCAGAATTTTAAGAGCCTCTCAGTGAGTCCAAAGGACACGCCGAGGTAATCCAGTCTCTCAGGCCTCCTCTCATTTAAATTAAGGAGCAATGGAGGGAGTGAAGCTCTGGGTTCAATCCTCTCCTCGAGGAGATCCACTTGCTCCTCCTCGACCCTCGTAATCTCGTTATCCTCGACCTCCTCGATATTCGGTATTTTCATCTCGTAATATTGCTTCAGAAGATCTAGGGCCCTCCGGCCATATCCCATGCTGTGATAATCGGGATGAGTGGCTATTCTGACGATTCTTGCTCCAGCGAGTCTGGGGAAATCGTTATCCTGGTACTGCTGGGCAATCGTCCACGGGATGAGATCGCCAGACGCTCGTTTCCCCCTACCCAGACCTTCAGAAATCGTTGTCTTGCTGATTTCACCCTCGAGACACACCTGAATCACCACAAGAATCTCAGGAAGACTTTTTCTATTAGGATCCACAGGCCCCAAGAGGCAGAATAAATGATGCGCAGGTGCGTCTGACATCATCTGCAGGTCGTTGGGGCTATTCTTGTAATGAGACGCTACGTACAAAGCCACTAGCCTCTGCAGAAATAACTCTGAGGCCTTGTGATACGAGAATAAAGTATCTCGATTGATATAATACAGTTGACAGACATCTGGAGGTGGACAGCCTGACAGAACCGGGGCATGAGTTACAGCGTCGAGACACAGAAGATTCGTCAGCCACTCCTCGACGTTGTCCCCAGGTTTGTAACGAATCGACTCGTCGAGTGTCAATTCATACAGCTGTCGTCCCAGGAATTTTTCATTTTTCTTGTCATGAGAGTTGGGAGCAGCTGTTGAACTTCTCAACTGCTGTAGGAGTTTCAGGGATAGGGACCTACCTGTGCCCTCGTATCCGTTAATCGTCGAAGCCAGGAACACTAGGTAAGGCCCTAGCATTGCCCTGACGTACGACAGGGGAATGGCCGCGGCTTCATCGATAACCAGGAGCTCAGCTTGACTGAGCTTATGAGCATCTGTGGGATGAATATACTGAATCGTCTGACGATGGTCTCTGTGGACGTCAATCCTGATTGTGGCTTTATTGAACTCCGGATTTGTCGATTGGATGAGATCATAGTCGTGTCGATCCTCGTAGGCCAGAGCCTCGAAGCCCTTGACAATAAACTCAAAAAGAGTGTTGAGATTCTCAGGACTGGGGCTGGAGATGTAGATGTTGGAGTAGCCGAAGGCAACAGCTCCTGCAATTGCCAGACCCAATGTGGCTGATTTTCCTCGACCCCTAGCTGCCGTCAGGGAGACTGTGGAGCGCAGGGTCTTTTCGGAGATGCTCTCGATAAACTTCAGGAGTGCCTTCCCCTGGTCCACGGTTTTGCAGCAGTTTATGAGGGAGGACACTGGCTGGGTGTCCTGAAAACTCTCCTTAAGGGCATTTAATTCCAAGTCTTCCTCGGTGGAGGGCACCCTGGGGACTGCCTCGATTTTTAAATTCTTCGAGGAGATAGGGAGAACTCTCAGCTGATCGTCTACCACTAGGCAACGATTGCAGGACGCCAAGGACAGGAGGAAGCGCTCGTTGAATCTGCAGACGACGTCCTGGTGGGCCTCGGTACGGTACCTCTGGTGCACGTCCATACTCATTGTGTAGAGTTGTTTGAGGGAATTCACTGATTGCAGGAGTAATACAATAATTCCTCCACCCTCGACAGTCTCGATGGTTCGAGCCAGAAGATTCGGAGTGAGGGCCTCGAAGTCCTGAAGAATGCACATGCCGAAGGTGTTACCCAGGATCTTGTGGGTCTCGTTGTAGTAGCAATAACGGATTTTTGCAGAGGCCACGAACAGTTCGAAGGGGTCATCCTCGTTTATATCCACTTTTCCGGATTTCACTTTTTTCTCGATTTTCTTCTGGCGCTTCTGGCGATGACTGCTGAACCCCAAGTCCTTCTTGTAGCACCAGAGGATCGAGGGACGGGCTTTCACTACGGTTTTTGAAAGCATGTGATGCAGGAGAACAACCTGAACGCCAAATTTTATCCAATTTTTTCATTACAAATCAATTATTATGGAGATAAATCGATAAGTCAGCTGATGTTTTGACAAACCTGATCTCTCGCCTTTTCACCGATAACCGTGAAAAATGTACGATGGCCCTCAGCAACTCCATTCTCGATTAAAACACGAATTCTGTTGTCAATCTTCTTACGAACCATTTTTTAAATCCTGATGGCAAACGTGGGACTGGTTTTGAGGTTAACAACACGTGAGCTCAAACAGGATTGACTAAAGTAGAGGCTCAATTCTCGGGGTTGAAGAGACCCCAGCGACATCGTAGTACTGCACCCCAAGAGAGGGAGGGCACCACACGCAATGGGGAGGTGTTTTTTTTTTATTAATCAAGTTTTTATTGCAATGCTGGGGTGTCCATCAAGTCGACGGGGTGAATTTTATTTTCTGCTGTACGAATGCTTTTTGTTTTTCATTTGTTTAACTGAAATTTAGCCGACTGTAGCACGTACGGAAGGGGGAAACCACATCTTGTGGAATTTCAATGGAAAAAATTATTCAATGTAT